GCTCTCCTTGCAGCGTGCGGTTGTAAATTGTGCTTTAAATTATTTCACAAATTATGTAAACTTAATGAAGCCTCCCCCCCCCCAGGCCTTCTGCTGGAATGGTGTTAATGATCCAGCGCTTCAGATGTGACATGGCCTTTCTTCACGGGCGGCGGCCCTGCCGTGCCCCTCGACTCGTCGTGACGACGAGCACGCCTCGCTCTGTACCGACAATAAATCTATTTTATGCACAAGGCTGAGCCTGCAGTCTGTCTCTCTTCCCACCTCTCAGAGGCTTGGTGGTGTTCCCCCTGCTGTGCCAGTCGTGGTTTTCCATCAGATGTTGTTGGAAAAGCCGGAGCTTTGAAGCGTAACCAGCCTCGGTCTGGGGAGCGGGGCCTGCCTGGCACTGTTTGCCATCGCAGCAGCCTAAAGGGATCCCAGCTGATGGTGTGTTGTGATTTACCCACCACTTCCCTTCTGGGAAAAAGCCCTAGTGAGTGCAGCACCACAACCTCTTGTTGCCCAGAGAGCTTGTGGGCTCCCCATCCTTGGAAGTGTCCAAGTGTTGGATGTGCTGGGAGCAACCTGGGATGGTGGGAGGTGTCCCTGCCTCGTGGCAGGGGGTGGGACTGGATGGGCTTTAAGGTCCCTGCAATCCAAAACATTCTGGCATTCTATGAAAGGACCTAAAACTGCAGCCCAGCTTCCTGCAGGCACCCAGTTTTTGTTCAGACAACAACTGCCGCATCCACTGTACCAGGCAATCTTAGAAATTGCTTTTTTACACACTGGTAAAAGTAGCAATATCAAAGGAGCAACGTGGCCAGAGCCTTCTGCTATTTATTTACCTGTTCTGCTCCTCTAATTGGCTGTGTTGGAACCACATCCTCCTGAACAACTGCGAGTGCACCTGTGGGTCTCATTTATTATTCATTCAAAATATTACCAGTGACTCTCCTAATTATCAAGATGCTCTGTGAGTGCTGTTTAATTAAGGATTTATTATTTTTTTTTTATGCTACAAAAAGAAGCTGGGCTTCTTTTCTTTTTTTCTTTTTTTTTTTGTGCCTGTGAAGCAACTGCAGTATCAGTAGGAGAGGGGGGGATCCTGGAGTTCAACTTCAGGTGCCAGGTAAATGGCTCGAGAGAAACGATGGGGACACAGGCAGCGTGTTTACATGGTGACTTGCTGCAGTGTTTACAAATCAGCTAACTCACAAATTCTTCTCTCTAATGTTCCCTTCTGCAACAGAGAGCCAAGAAGTTGGCAGATCCACCCTTGCCAGGCTCAGGATTGGCAGAGGAAGGCAGCACAGAGGAAAAAAAGCAGACGTTTTTCAGGCCAGATGATTGTGGAGGATCGGGAGTGTCGGGAAGGGAGGTCTCTGTTATTGCCAAATGTTTGTTGGTCTCCCGTCCTGACAGCCCTGAGCAGTGGGAGCCAGTCCTGCTTTGCTTTGTTCCAGCCGTGTTTTGGGCTTCACTGGGGGGTTTTGTGCTCCCTGGAGAAAAGGAGGCTCAGGGGGGACCTTCTGGCTCTGCAAGTCCCTGCCAGGAAGGGGGAACCAGGGGGAATTCGGGCTCTGCTCCCAGGGAACAGGGACATGAGGAGAGGGAACGACCTCCAGCTGTGCCAGGGGAGGGGCAGGTTGGACATCAGCAGGAATTTCCTCATGGAAAGGGTTGTTAAACATGGGAAGGGGCTGCCCAGGGAGGTTTGGAGTGCCCAGGCTTGGAGGTGCCCAAGGAAGGCCTGGCCATGGCAGGTGGGGATGGGGCACAGGGTGGGCTCTGTGATCTCAGAGGTCTTTTCCAACCTCAGTGATTCTGGGAATGTTTCTGGAGTGAGCTCCAGTTCACCACCTTGCCTGCCTTTGCCATCTCTACCTCTGTGTCCCTGCATCCTTGTCCTTCTGTCTATCTTTGGCTTCCTCCTCCTCCTCAGTTGCTGGTAGGGACACCAAAATCTTCAAAATCGTTGCATTTTCTTGGGGTTTTTTTTGGTTTTTTTTTTAATATGGAAAACCAGTGGAGTGGCTTCCCACCTCCCCAGAAATAACCAGCTCTGTAGATTGCTCCCTGCCAGAGCGAGCATCTGAACTCAGCCTTGGTGGATGCTGCTCTCAGAAGGGATGATTGGGGGTGATGTCCCCAGGGATGACAGGCAAGGGCACGACACACTCCCTGCCCACGGCAGGGAATAATTTCAGGTGTTCTCGCCGGTCATTTCACGAGCTCTGATCGGCTGTAAGCAAAAGGGCAGCGTTACCCAGGGGTTTAAATGGAAAAGCGAGGATTGTAACAGCTAAATCAAAGCTTTTCATTGTTCTTTGCTCAGTGGCTGTGGAACAAATCACAGAGCTTTCAGCTAGTGTCACAATAATCACCGCTCTGCCACTCTCGTGTCATTTGGCAGCGTCGAGACTCCCTCAGAACTCCAGACTCCCTTTCCTCAGGAGTCCTGTGCGTCTGACACACTTCACATCACCTGGCAGAGCTGGCTTTTTGGGCTTGTTCACCCTCTCCCTGCATTACAGTTTTTAGCAGAAACTTGGAATTAGCTTTTCCGTGGAGATGGGTTGGGATAAATGTTACAGCTCAGCTGGTCACTGCTCTGTCCTCTTCTGCATCCTGTGCCCTTCTCGAGAGAATCCAAAGAGGCAAAAACCTGAGGAGGTGATGGGAAGGGGAGCCTTTCCCAGGCTGGATGTGGCTCTGAGCAGCCTGGGCTAGTGGAAGGTGTCCCTGCCCGTGGCAGGAGTTGGATCTGGGTGATCTTTAAGGTCCCTTCCAACCCAAACCGTTCTGTCAGCCTGTGATCCTTTTCTGTCCTTTTTCTTTTCCTTTCCAAAGTAACAAACTCTAGACAGTATTCCCTGCAAACAGTTCCAGGAGCTTCCCCCCCAAGCTGTGAATGCCGATGGGGTCTGGGAAAGGCAGAGTGATGATTTCTAGTGTTTTCTTTATGTGCATCTTTGCCCCATCCCTGGAAGTGTTCAAGGCCTGGCTGGATGGGGCTTGGTTGAAGACATCCCTTCCCATGGCAGAGAGGTTGGACCAGATGACCTCTAAAACTCATCCCAACACAAACTGTTCCTGACTCTGTGATCTTTCTCCTCTGTGAGCACCCACAGATCCTCCTGCTTCCCAAGTGGCAGGGCCGGAGAGACCGGAGAGGGACGCAAAGTTCCTTGCCCAGCGTGTCAAATCTCATTTGCAGGACCCAGAAATCATCAGGTGTTTGTCCCCTGCCAGGTGACAGCACACTGCAGCTCCCCTGCCCACGGTCAGCCCTGCTTGATCGAGGGGTGGGTGCTGCCAGGTGGGTGTAGATTTGGGGGTGTCTGCAGGCAAACAGCTGCAGGTGGGAATTTTGTAACCTGGGCAGTCCTTAATTTGCACAGTTTGTGTTGAGCTGGGTGTGTTGTGGAAGTTGGCTGAAGACACAGGAGAGGGTGAGAGAGGCTGCGTGTGCAAGGTGGGCCCCGTCCTGCAGCCATGAGAGCCCTTTCTGTGTTCAGCCTCTTCCATCTCTTCCTTGGAAACCCTCTGCAGGTTCTTGACCTGCATTAATGAAACCAGTTGGGGTCCTGCTTTACCCACAGTGACTTCCTGAGGAGCTGGGGGCTGTTTCCAGGGCTGAGCCCCCACTGTCACACTGAAGTTCAGGAGAGCAGCGACTCCCACACCCGTCCCCAGTGAGCCCAAGGCAAGATTCAAGTAAAGGTCTGGAAAACGAAAAGGGAATAAGGTTGGGGATGTGAAACACATTGACAGTGATGTTCCAGTTGGGTTTTGCTGGGTGAACACCCTGCTGTTTCCAGCTCTCTGTTGGAGAGGAGTGTCTGTCATCCCAACTCACCTTCCAGGTTGCTCTCAGCTGCTGTTCCTGTATCCAACAGGGCCTGGGGGGCAAGTCCATCTTTGATTTGATTATCAGCATTCACCAGCCGAGGAGCTGGGTCAGAATATCCACCCCTGCCTGGGGAAGAGGGAGATTCCCTGGCTGTGGTCTGAGAGGACCAAGGTGTGAAGGGGACCTGGGTCTTCAAGGCACTGGGAGGTTCCCCCAGAACAGGAGGCACCGAGCCAGGGCTGCCCTGCCAGGATGTCAGCTCCACCTGAACAAAGACACTGGGTAATTAGAGAGGTAATTAGTTTGGTAATTACTAAGGTAATTAGTTTGATTCTCTCTCAGGCCAGTAACTGCTGGGAAGAGAAGGCTCAGCCCACAGTGCTGGAAGGGAGCACCTTGAATCGCTGCAGCACCCCCTGCCAGGTTAACTCTTCCCCCTCCTGGATGGGGAGCAGCATCTGACACTGCTGAAAAGGGGGG